TATGGTATGTGGGAAAAAAATCGCATATCACATTTCAATTGTGCTTCTTTTTCAGGACTATTGGTACTGTAATTTATGTGGAATTCAACCAGGAAGAGGATTTGGTATGTACTTCTCCTTCCTGGTTGGCTGCGAAATTTAACCTTCCATCTTCTTGCAGAATCTGGTACAGACGTTCTACCAAGACTTTTCAAAATCAAATACGACAGTGGTTTACTCGATGAGCTTTTGTTCCTGGACGTTGCCACAGAGTAAGTGGGACTCTTATAACGATAGCCCTAATTCTTACTTTCCTCTGAAAGAAAATATTCTGTACCATCCGGAAAAGTGGTTCTGGAGTATGCCAGGGCCGTTCATGAGTCGGTGTTTCTCGAACTTCGGGTAACTGAACTGCAGATGAAATGTAGTGGTGCTAAGTTTCCTTGTTCAGGTAATTCGTCATGGCAAGCTGCGTATAACTTTCAACAGTCAGTTTAAGGTACTGTTTTAACATGCATGCATGAGGGAACTTTTAGCTGACACTTTTATTTATGGCCAGATTTGCTCATGGGAGTTCTGTACTAAGGCGCACGAAGAAGTAGTGCCGCGGAAAAATTTGCTTCAACAGGTACCTCGTTTTTTCCAGTCTAGTCTCGCTTTAAAATAGTCTCTTGTTTTGTAGGTGCACCAGCTGGCGAGCCTTGTCATAGAATCCGACCAGGAGAACTTTGACAAGAGCGCAGAGAACTTAAAATCTCATTGCAATGCGTACGTTGCCAGATCTTTGAAATCACTTTTTTTTTTCCCACTTTCCCGTTCTGCAGCTTTACAAAAGCGGCAAAGCAGCTGGCTGTTCAACTTGACGCGCCAATGGTGAACGACCTTGGGTTCTCGAAACGTTATGTAAGATGCTTGCAGGTATGTGGTGGAACAAAATGGTATTGTTAAGTAGATTGTCGTGCGTTGTATGAACAGATCGCAGAAGTTGTCAACAGCATGAAGGACCTGATATCGTTTGAGAGGAAAACCGGCCTAGGCCCAGTCGGTAAGTCGCTCATGCTTTGACTTCCATATGCTCATGCAAAAACAAATTTTCCAGAGAGCTTGAAGCGTTTCCCGACTGTCAAAAAGCTCCAGATGGAAGGCGGCCTCGCCGGCTTGCCTCCATCCTTAAGCCTGACTCAGATGATCACCGAGCTCACCCAAGGTACAACGTCTCTACAGTCCTCCACGGTCACGCGGCTCCAGTCGGAATCAATGTCCGAGGCGCAGGACCAAGGCGATGGTAACCAACAAGCCCACTCATCCTCCGTTTTCAAGGGAATGGAAGCAGCAGCAGCAGGGCCGCCAGTGAATCAGCAGCGGAGTTCCATGGAGTCGCGCTTGCAGCACCTCCTCCAGTCGTCATCGGAGGCTTTCAACCAGATCCAACCATCTCAAGCGGCGCAGTCCATAGGCTCCCAGCTAGCGTCTCCATCTCAGGCTCCAGCAGTGGTAGCACAGGCTCCAGGCAAGCAGCAGCAGCAGCAGCAGCAGGCAGTGGCGAGCAACCAGATTGGTGGCGGAGCGGCGCAGCAACAGCAGAACTTCCAGCCGGTTGTTTTGAAGTCGGGTGCCGCAAAGTCTTCGCTGTCTCAGCCGCATCAGTCGAGCTTGCCGGGAACGCCTCAAAGCGAGATGAGCGACATGAGGTCCAACACTTGACGGATGGATGGAGAGAAGGGCTGATTATATACTGACGAAAAAGAGAAGGTTGGGCAGCCAGCGAGCAAGCAAGCAAGGTGTACATAGTGTGCTTGAAAAGAAACGATCTCTCTCGGCTGGGACTGCGGGATGGACCCCCATGATCTCGCTCTCTCTCTTAAGAGGGGAGGAGAAATGCAAAGTGACGAAGAAGAGGGGATTCTTGCGGGAGTCCGGTTGAGGTTGAGGTGTGACTAGGACGACGACGTAGTAAGTTTCCAGTCCCCACGAGAAGAAAAAAAGGTTTGGAGAATGGAATGGGTTTTACAAAGCTGTTGTTGTGAAAGGTTTAGAACAAACACACAATCTTTTATACAAGGACGTAAGATTTTTTCCCTTTGCTTTAGGAAGTTTCATGGTGGTATTTACAAAAAGTTTTACGATTTAATATTTTAACATCTTTTCTGCATATATAAATCAAGTTGATGCGAGAAAGATGCCGGCGAGTTGTGTAGCAAAGAAAGCCGAAATAATGACACATTAAAACTGACGCAAGCGTTTTGTTAATTTAAAGACTATTGGCCAACTATTAAGCATATCTTAGGTATATCCACGAAACTGTGATCGCATCTCCACCGTCCGTCTGCATCATCCCAGCCGTCGAAGCTAGGTCCAAACTTAGCCCGAGAGTCTATTTTTAGTATCTAGCTCTTACAAAAGCACAGTGCATCATCTAGGGTTTTCTCGTGAGGATGAGGGGCGGCGCTCCGACGCCCTAGACAGGGCCAGGGTTTTGTAAGCCCGGGGGCCCTATCGCTCAGTTGCGGGAGCGATCCATTTGTTGTGCGTCACCGGGATTGAAGGCTTTGGCATAGGGATGTCACAGTACTGTGGTACAGAGAAGCACATCGCACTGGAGGTGATTTCTTTATCACCTGCGGCTCCATGTACTTCTCCGTGCCACAGTACTGGGAACGAAAGAGGTACGATCGTATTGCTTTTCTTTTATTTCCAGGTATTGGAGACTGGCAGCCAAGATTTGGCCTTGTGTCTATGCAAACGCAAACAAGCTCCAAAGCCAAAGCTCTCAAGCTCCAGGGCGGTTCCAAAGCTCGAGCGAGGCATCAAAGTTCCATCAAAGGCTCCAAAGCTCAAACTCAAGAGTTTGGGGTGTTTTTGTTTTGTGTGCTATGTAATTTTTTGTCAGCTATGAAGATTTAGCACAAGGAACTATGGCTTTGCTGATACCAGGCGAGATTATTCCCTGCTTGCCCTGTTGTTGTGCGAGTTGTTTAGAGTCGATTGCTTGGTCCACAAGCAAGTAGCGCTCGATTCTCCTTTGGTTGAGATACCAAGCTTGTCTGAGACGAAAGTCGTGGCGATAGTCTCCGCTTCCACATCTCGGCGCCGTACGCGTAGTAACCTCTCCTTGTAACTCATCTACGGACGCCCCACTGGGTCGGTTCTGTGAATGATTTCTTCGATTGATTCGCAGGCCCGTGTCTTGGTAGAAACGGTAGAGTGTATCGATGTGAATGGTGTTCCTTCTGCTCTGACGAGGTCGGGTGGGAAATAGAGCAGCTGGTCTCGCATTGCTGGTGCCTGGATTCGCATGTCCAGGTAGTGGTTCTCCTCGTCTTGTTTGATGACTACGGCCCCCAGATCACGTAGATGACTATGCCTCCATTTCTCGTCCCATGGATGTTGCTTTCCAGTTCCATGCTGTGCTGACGTCAGGGATCCGGCTCTGCTGGTCTTCCCAGCGATGATGTCGAAATGCTCTTATTCAGTCCGCAGTCGTGTGAGAAGCCGCCGATGTTCATCACCATCACCATCTCCACCATCACCGTCACCGTCACTTGCAATGTGTCCGAGTGCTGTTGCTTGTGCTGTCTGTTTCCTTTGCATTTTGTTGTTGTGGCGTTATAGGCAGTATCTTGTAAAGATCTTTGGGCTTGGTATCTTGTAAAGATTATGGCGAATTTTAAATCCTGTAGGTAGTGCTCTTGATATCTTAGTTCTCGGTGTGGTTCCCTGCAGCCAGTGCTGCTGCATGGCGTTTTTTCTGGGCTCCCACTTGGGCTTGGAGCGTGACCAATCATTGCTGAGCGTGTTGGAGCGTTTGCGGTTCAGTGTATGCATTGTGTGCCATGGACACAAGTGTGTTGCCCGCCTCCGCTTCTTGCTGCTGGCCTGATGTAAGATGCATCATTCATCGCCCAACCGCGACCAGCTTAGATGGCCGCCGATCGGGAAGGTTGGCTTGATCACCTTTTTGGACATTTCCTTGCGTTTGCGGTTTAGTTGGACTCTTACGCAACGAGGTCCTTTTGCCCTTTGCTGTTGTCTTTCGGTGGCGGCTGTTTCACGACTGCGGGTGTAACTTGTTGATTGCCTAGGATCAGACGCGGTGCCTTGTTTGTCGTTTTTGCTCAGCTTCCTCGGCAACGTCAGTGTGGAGCCTGACGAGTGCATCCTCTAAAATCTTCTACGCCTCATTCATAGCTGTTCTCGCACTGACTCGCTTGTGGTGCCGTCCCCTCTAGCTGCCAGGTATTTGGAAAGCTACTCTTGAGGCTCATTGCTGTCCGTGGACGTTTCTGTCGTCTGTTTGTTTCTGTTGTTGTATGGAGGTGTTTTCGGGTGGTGGTGGCGTGCTCTCTTTGCTTCCTCAATGTTCCAGAAGCGCCGAAATCCTTGGTGACGTTCAGGCGCTCTGGAATGTTGACGTACTAGGGCGCGTACGTGTGTTGTCCCATGATGATCCTCGCTGAGTTCTTTTCTCGACTGGAACCTCCACGGTGACCACTCCTGATTTCACGTTGGTGAAGATGATGTGTCCCAGTGCCCGGAGGGCCTCCTTCGTGGTCTCTCTCTTGGCCTGGAGTCCACCGGGCTAAAGGCATGTTTCAAGCATCACCTGGCTGGTTTCCCTCTCTGGGCCGTTCTCCGCGAACCCGTTGTGGTGTTTGAAGGTAACCAGGAATTCGCTGTTGATCGCCGTGCTGTGAATTCAGAGCTTCGCGATCTGGTGCCTCTCGTACGTGTAATGGCCAAACCAGGGGTTCACTTCCTCTCGGTTGAAGCGTGGGTGGTCAATTCACACACTGCATCAGGTCTCCATATCTTCTATCATTCTGCAATAGTTTCTGACTGCCTTGGTTTTGTGATGCTGAGTGTAGTTTTAGAATCAGCACTGGGTCTTGGGATCCAACAGTGGGGATCTTGGGCTCGATGTTGGTGGTGACCAACATCGAATAGTTTGAATAGTGTGTGACCGGCGTTTTCTTTGCTTTGAATATACTACATGTTAGGTGTATCCGCTAAATTGTGATCGCGTCTCCTAGCTCGAGGGTCTTGCTCTTAGCATTTTCTCCAGAGAGTAGGTTTTCATGCTCCAGAATTGGGGCGGCGGGGATGGGCGAGGATCCATTTGAGGGTCATTGTCTCTTCCTTGAGATGCACAATAGGGAGATGTCACAGCACTGTGGTCCAGAGAAGCACATCGCACTGGAGGTGATTTTCATCACCTGCGGCTCCATGTACTTCTTAATACTGGAAACGAAAAAGGTACGAACTTTTCTTTTTTTCCCAGGTATTGGAGGGACTGGCAGCCAAGATTTGGATGATGCGCCGTGGAGATGGCTGAAAAAATTATGTACTTTTTGTAGGATTCCCAAATTCTAGGTCCAGCTTGATCGAGCGCTTCCCTGGGCTCAAATGTTCAGCTATGAAGATCTAGCACAGGCCACCTGCTTGCCCGCGAAATTTTTATCCAAGCCACAATTCAGCAAATTTAAACGCTGGACTCAGTTTAGCTAGTTAAATTGGAAGCGCACAGGTCCAAAGCTTCTTCATTGTCCGACTGCTTCTGTTTCTTCGCTTTGCTCCGATTCTGCCTTTCTGTTCTTGTGTGGAGGTTGTTTCTGTGACGGGTGAGATGGTGGTGGTGGCATGCTCTCTTTGGTTGCGGGTGCTGCCGCGATGTTCCAGAAGCGCCAATTAAAGGTGAAATCCTTGGTGACGTTCAGGCGCTCTGGAATGTTGAGCTTCGCTGAGTTCTTTGTCGGCTGTCTTCTCGCCATATTCTTGGAGGTATGCCAGGTGATAGTGAAACACGTTGGGGTGTTTGGAGGTAACCAGGAATTCGCTGTTGATCGCCATGCTGTGAATTCAGAACTTCGCGATCGGCCAAACCAGGGATTCACTTCCTCTCGGTTGAACAATTCACAACACGCAATGCATATGGCAGGGGCTCTTGTCATTCGGCAATAATCTCTGGCCGGTGGGTCGTAGTGTTCAGCGCGATCCCTTGACGTTCTCGGGCTCCTGGTCTCCGAGCGCATGCCTACTCAAGCGTGGTTGTTCTTTGGCCATGTCGCTGCGCGGTGGTGCTGCATGCATGGGTGCCGGGTGCCGGGTGGAGTCCATTCTGTTGCGGCGTGTAATGGCCATGTTGACGAGCGCACTGTGGTTGGCATTGTGATTGGCGTGGAGCTGTGCATGCCTGCTGAGTGGTCGTCTCTCTCATACCTCTCAGCCCTGGGTCTTCCAACACTGGGGATCTTGGGCTCGATGTTGGTGTCGTGGCTGCGCCAGTACTGCTGCGTTGGCGTGCTTCTGAACTTTTTTGCCGACAATGCCTTTGCTTGAGGACGTGTTCGTGACGATCACTGGAGGCGTTATTGGTTGAGTTATGATCCCTGCCTGGCAGCTGCCGTGACCGGGAGGACAACAACACAGGGTGCACGTCCAGACTTGGGTGTAGTGAACATTGTGGAGGAGGAAATTCATGACTCAATTCTGGGCCTTACTATGTGTTGAGAAAGATAAACGTGTCACATGCATGAAAGTCAGTTCCAAAAAATACAGTGGTGCCAAGCATAACAGGATATAAGACTTGGCAGGACAACATGATCATCCAAACATTTTGGTTGTGTGCAGATGACATTCAACATTGTTGGGACCAATTGGGCGATCTTAAAGGGTTCAGTTGTGCTCCATTACAATGGCTAGTTGCTGAAAGTATATTGATAACTTTGGCAGAGCCACACCAGCTCTAGAAGAAACTCCACTGGAGGATCCAATCCCATCAAAACCTATTCAGGTGCACCAAGAAATAATGGACAAAGAAATCTTAACACCAACTCCAACATCAACTGCTTCAGGTAAATGATCTTTGAAAAAAATTAATATCTCTTTAACATTTGCCTCTCCTGCTAGCGGGGTGGTCGGTGGAGCTAGGCTTCAACCTTTGGGACCTTCATTTCTTGAGCTTGGGCTGAAACACTCCGTGAATGTGGAAAAACTTACAGCTCGGGCATGCCGTCCACATTGGTGGTTTTGTTTTTGGGAGACCCCTCGAATATACGAGAATATTAGGTATATCCGTTAAATTGTGATCACCGTCCGTCTACATCATCCCAGCCGTCGAAGCTAGGTCCAAAGTTAGCTCGAGGGTCTATTTTTAGTATTTAGCTCTTACAAAAGCGCAGTGTATCGCCTAGGGTTTTCTCCAGGGAGTAGGTTTTCATTTGGGGGTTCGATCGGCCCTATCTTTTGCTCACTTGCGATGAATGGGTGTTGAGGGTCACTGTCTCTTCCTTGAGATCCACAAGGAGATGTCACAATACGTCACAGTACTGTGGTCCAGAGAAGCACATCGCACTGGAGGTGATTTCCATCACCTGTGGCTCCATGTACTTCTCTGTTCCACAGTACTGGAAACGAAAAGGTACGTATTGCTTTTTCTTTTTCTTTTTTTTTTCCAGGTATTGGAGGGAGTGGCAGCCAAGATTTGGATGATGCGTTAAGAAACTTCTCATCCGTGAAGATGAGCTATCCAAGTTGTCCAGGTTTTTGTTTTGTGTCACATTTGGATTTGGATTCCCAAATTCCAGCTCCGGCTGGATCGAGCGCTTGCCCAGGCTCAAATCTATGAAGATCTAGCGAACGGGTATCATACCAGGCTTGGATCGCTGGATCAAATTTCGGGAGCCCTTGGGCAAGCAGGCATTCTGGTTTTAATTTATTTAATATAAATACAATTGCATTGCCTTTGAAGATGACCTAAACTTGAAAGCAAACGGGCATTTAAATTTGCTCCACATTTTTATGGAAATGAATTGTACTTAGTGATAGCGAGATGATTGCCTCCCACCGTCACCACTGCCACCATCCTCACCACCACCACCACAGGAGACGGGGACAGGGACAAAGAATGGCAAAGAATAGCACAATCATATAACTTGAATTGGGATCGACTCTTCTTCATGTTGATCATCGGTAGCTGCTGCTGCTGCTGCTGCTTGGATTTCACGAGACATCACCAGCATCATAGCTGGATTGGGATTATCAAGTCATCATCAGCATCATAACTGGATTGGGATCATCAACTCTTCATCGCCAACATAGTAGGAACGTTTTATGATATTAAAAGAGCTCAATCGCCAACATAGTAGGAAATAATAATCTCAGTATAGGAATGCTCACTAAAACGGCGTTGGGTGAGATCCGCCTCTTGCATCTCCGCTCGGATGGTTGTGCCAATGGAGGCTGTGTCTCACTTGGTTAATTCCATACAAAGTAGCATCCCCTTCCATAGACAGTTTACGGCCAGTTTAGCTCGTTGCCCTCCAAAACTTACGGAGCCAATCTTTAAACTGTGCAAGTCAAAAGAGTGAAAAGATTTCAGGAGAAAAGAGAACTTTCTTTCGAGCGTTACACAGGAATTGTGAGTTCACCTCTTTTTTCTCCGGATCTTGAGCCGTCAATCTCCATGGCCGTTGCACGCATGCATACTTCAAGAATCCACGAAAAAGGCTATGAACAGCTCGTAACAAAAGGTGGCGGGGCTACATGTGAGCGTCGGCTTGCTTGCTGGGCAGTGGTAATACCAAGACGCGAAACGCGGCAGGAGATCGGCTCCTGTGCTTGCTGGTGGGGTGGCGTTTATAAGAGTTGGCAAGCAAAAACAAAGTCATAGATCTCTCGATCTCGCAAAAGAAGGTTGGCCGGATCCATACATCATCAATTTATCATGTCGTCGACGAGTCCCAGTTATCTGATGATCCTGCTGCTTCTCACCGCTACTCTTGTCTGTGGTGATGAGTTCTCAGATCCGCCACCTTCTTCTTCTTTGCATTCTCCTCGAAACAGTAGAAAGCTTTCGCCATTGTTGCTAGGCTTGATGAGAGGCCGAGGAGCAGTGGGATCGAGTGTGGAGTGCTCCCAGGGTGAATCGGGTGGAACCTTTTGCCGTGCTCAGGCATTGTTCGCGGCAAGCGGATCGAGTGCGTCGTGTTGCAATCGGCGGTGTGTGGACGTTGGCGTGGATCTGTTCCACTGCGGCATTTGCAACCGGCGGTGCCAAGACGGGGAGTCGTGCTGCAGGGGATTTTGCGTAGATCTCAACACCAACAGGAAGAACTGTGGCGAGTGCGGTTTCAAGTGTCCCAGAGACGTGCAGTGCCAGTTTGGGATCTGTGGCTATGCTGGATGATCAAGGAAGAACATCTCTACTCGTTTTGCATCATTCTTTAGTTCTTGATTATGAGATCCTTCATCGATTTTATTCATTTTCTTCATTGTCTGAGTTTGTTACCATGAGAAGAGGAAAATTCATGTATTTGCTTGATTCATTCATTCATTTATCCAAGAGCCAAGTGTTTATCTTCCGGGTCTTGAGAGTTAATAGTTTGTGTCGTCAATCTAGCCTCAGAACAAGACCACCACCACCTTCCGCCTTGCCTCCTCCTCCTCCTCCCTCTTGCGATCCGCCTTGCGAGCTCTTCCGGCTTCCAGACGGCTGCTGCGACGCCGAGTTTCCACCGCCGCCCCCCTGCTGAGGCTGCTGAGCCCGAGGAGGCGGCGATTTCGGGCGGAGGGCCTCTATCTCGTTCGTGGTCCCCAAGAGATGCGGAGCTTCTGGCTGAGGATTGCCTCGTCCTCCCTGCCAGACATTGCCTTCCGAGTCTGCAAAGTATCTTGTATACGTCTGAAACATCGCAAACAAACAAACTTTGTCGTAGAAAAAGAGCAAGCTTTCCAAAAAGAAAAAGAGCTTCCAGACTTACCTGGCTGCTGAAGTTGGAGGACGTGAGACTCTTCCCGATGGTTACCCAGCCAGCACGGATGTTATGGTCTTCGCCGAATAGCTCCAGCCGCCGCCGGCCCAGCGCAAAATGCTCTATGATGTGGTAGAGCTCTTCTGGTTTAGCGACGGATCCTACAGACAAGCAGCCATTAGCTTGAGAGAGTTTTGAAGTTGAGAGACAACTCACCGAACGGAGGCTCCTCCGAGATAATCACGTCGGTGTCAACGTTGGCATGAATGATATGTCCATCACTGCTTCTTCTCACGGTTCCTTTTATACCCATCAAGCAGTGTTCCTGACAAACCGAAGCGTGGGTTAGGCCACTACTAGCAAGCTCCGAGTGTCACGTACCTTTGAGTGCTGGAACAAGGTGTTGGAATCGTGTCTTAGTGGCGGAGATGGATTTTGTTTGTTCGTCTTCACCCAGCAGATATCTTCACACCTTCTGAATCCCCACTATGGAATCCGTTAACGAGAAGAAAAAACGTATTTTGTTTCACGTACCTTCTTCAAGCACTGCCGACCTTGATCGAGCCCTTCCGCATCTCCCACCCATAGAAAAATAAACGAGGGTGTATCAGCGATAGCCTGCGATCCACTGCCGTGAAAATCAAGCTCAAGAAGAACAAAGACAGAGAATGAGAAAGAAGAAAGAGCTCGTACCTCGATTCGAAGGTTGAGAATCTCCTCAAACGTCCACCACTCGAGGGAATCCTCCACGCCGGGAGCTCGTCTCACATACTCCTCCCAGGGAGGATCCA